GCAACCACTTGTGACGACCCCGGGCTGGACTCCGCTTTTCTTCCACGGTGAAAGTGGATATCGTCCTCTTTTGGAAGGCCAAACAAAGTAGTTTCGCTTTCACAACGAAACACAGCGCTTTCACGACATGGCGGCGGCAGCAACAATACAATAGCGAGAATCAAAGTTACGCCTTTTTCTTTGTGTGAACATTTGGGCGGTGTTATGCAAATCTTCCCACATAGTGAGGCAGATATGTGGAGGCGTGTTAGAATGAGGCGTTTTAAGTAGGCGTGGTTGACTCTTAACTTTTATAAAGAATATCTCTTTGGATTTGAGACTTTAGTCTTTGCAACTTTACAGATCTTCTTTATGCACCAAGAGCTTGTAACACTCCAAAGAGAAAGGAAAAATTGAAATCGCATCATATGACCCCTTTAAGATAGCCAAAGGCCCCTGGGCTACAGCATTACAGTACCCCCCCCCCCCTTTCTTTTTTTAAGCTTCCTAACAATAATTTGTAAAATTGTTTTTTTGGTCTTGTTAATATGTCAGTTAACATTCACAACACTGTTCAGTGTAAAATGTGAATATAAGCGAATATGCAAATTCACTCTTTGCCACAAGGGGGCGCTTGTGGAACAGCAGAATTATATAGCTGTTACATAAAGTAAACACTATGTTATTTACGGGCATTATACGGAGGTAATATGAAAGGAAAATGCCATCAAAACTTTTCTGGCTGAAATGTGAGTTTACAGGTATGATTTAAACACACAAAATATGAATTATTCATCATCAGTAGAGCAAAACTGTGGGTTATTTGGTGATTGCTAAGTGTTTTTATTTTGAAACATGACATGCTCACATTTAATTAGTTAAATCACAGCTGTATAATGTTTAATGATCAAATTCATATTTTTCCATCCCCGGATTTAAAATGGAGACTTTGAGACTTTTTGGTTTATTAATGTCTACACCTACCCCAACCCTAAACCTACCCTTACAGTAATGCAAATACAGTAATTATGTGTTATATTCGCGGTTGTGGCTAGAAGGGATACAGCTAACGGAAACCAACAATAAATAATTTTTTCTACCTATTAGATTGTGTTTTATTAAAGTCTACACCTACCCCAACCCTAAACCTACCCTTACAGTAATGCAGATACATTAAATATTGTTGTTCAGCATGAGAAAATGGACGCAATATTGGCCTCACCCTCCCAATCATCAGACTCTACCAGCAGACATACTTGCTGGGTGAAGATTGTGCAGAGCCTCAATTAATGGTAGGAAAATCTGATGGGTAGGATAAAATTTCAGGACACCGGTCCAGTTCCTTTCACACAGCAGTGTTGAGTTTCTGTTAATCTGCGTGTTGACATTAAGATACTCTCGTGCTGCGGTTATTTACTAGCGAATGCATTGTACATTCCGCTTACAGTATATCGAAGGAACACATGGAACAAACCAACTGTACAAACTGTGTGGGGGGAACCTAGACTGAGCCATTCACTATATAGGCTACTACAACCAGGGCATCTCTAAAAATGAGTGTGTGAGTTTGTTTACAGAGCTCTGTTGTCGCTGCTGCAAACTCCCATATAAATAATTATTCAAAAAATATAATTTCCCTGCAGCCAGTGGGTCCCCTTTCCAGTGTAGGCCCCTGGGTGTCAGCCCCTTGAAGCTCGTGCATTAATGTGCCCCTGTTCAGAGCATATGAATCTAGGTATGAATGGACTGCTAGCCAGCCTTATAGTAAGTTGGGGATATTCAGCAGCCAATTCCCGATTCCCTGCTGAAGGCAGGTCAATGATCATCAAAGAATGTTACATTTTGTATTTGAGTGACCCAGTGCACTTTAAAATCCTGCAATTCCTGAACGGAACTTCAGAACTTTACAAAATTAAGCACGTGACATAGGCAATAGGTAAAACCCAACATACAGTTACAAGTACATTACTACTGTAATATTTAACATGTCTGGCTGACCTTCTGTGCACAAGACCTATCAAGTCCGGTGATGCAAGGCTTCTGCACCATAGTACATCAACTTCACCTGCCTTTAGTAACCAAGAGGCATGGATGAATTTCAATGGTAGACACCAGATTGATTAAACTTTATTATTTCTTTAAAAAACTTAATCTCCATCTTATCTGAGTTTTGGAGTAATTCATAGTCTGCTCATGGGTAGCATATGATAGTATGCAATTAAAATAAGTAAAGATGGTGCTTGCTGAATGTAATTTGTGACTTTCATGTTTCCTTCTAACCTTAGGTGGGTGAGGAGAAAAATGACATCTTGTTTTACACTAGGTTGATCTCGGGAAAAATATACTTTGGATACTTTGTAGAGAACTGAAGCTGAAACAACTAATTGATAAAATGCAATGCAACAGCAAAATCCATCCATCCATCCATCCTTCCATCCATCCATCCATCAGGTATACCTGCACAAGTAATTAAGAAGCTAAGGTGCATGTACAAAAATATACATGCCTAATTTTAATTGAATGTATTTGTTTCTCTCTGCAGGAGAAGAAATGAGAAGGAACAGTTGAGCATATGATTTCAACAAGCAACCACAGCCATAGGCAGTTTCACTATAAGACAGACTGTCACTATGGTGCCTCTACTCCAACTCTTTCTTCTAGTGCCTCTAATTAAGCCAATCACAAATCATGTCCATGGAATCTCTCTTTCTTCTCCAACCACTCATTCAAATCACAGCCTGTTTTCTCACACTTACATGTTTGTCAGAAAAACTGATCACAGATTGGCAGCCAATGCTGCGTTAGAAACTGTGAGACCATTTCTCCATGGCTTCTATCAGAAAAGTGTCATTAAATCAAGTGGAGATTCAAACGAATGGACAGAAAGCAGAAATACTGAGGACACATTGTCAGAAAATACATCACATACTGACATAACTGGGTCAAGAGGTATATTTTTATTATCACCCAAAAACAGATTCAAAAGAGGTCCTACCCAAAATGCCAGAATACCACAAGATGCTGCTGGAAAAGAAAAGGAGACTGCTGATGAGACAGAGTCAATGACAGAAGAACCAGTTGCTGAATTCGAAGAGAAAGACTTGTCAACAGTTAGGTCAGGAGATATGTTAATACCCAGAGAAATGGGCTTCGTTGGATCATCAACAGAGGCAATATCATCTCTTGATAAAAAGCATACCCAGTACAGACCGCAAGTTCAGACTGCTTATAGTGTGCTGGCTAGTTTGGCCACAGTACAGACAAATCCAACAATCAACCCTTCACTCGGGAAGGGTTCTACAACTTCACCACCTATTGAAAAGCCTGTATCCACTTCCAGGAGCATTAGCCAACTGGACGCCAACAGGACTGAACTGGAAATAGGTAGAGTATAGATGTAGTAATGCTGCATTCACCTAAATAAGTGAAATAAAAAATGGCACCTTTGAGATTCTACTCTTTTACTCAATCACTTGTTTCTGGAGCAACAATAGCGAAATAGTTCACTATATTATTTTACTTCTTTATTCTGGTAAAATTGTTATTACAAAGATTTTTACTTAACATATTTTTTTCTCTAGTTGTAAACTCATACAGTAATTATAATAGTTCTGTCGTGACTTCTGTCGTGAAAACTAGAGAAAGACTGTAAAAAAAAACAACTTTGATTTTGATGTTACTGCACCATTCCTCAAATTTCCTTTTGTTTATCAGGTAGGTTTGGGATAACCACTCCAGCTAAAATTCAGCCAAGGCAGTTTACCACTTTACAGTCACATACTGAAGCCACCTCTCTTAGCACAAGCACAACCAATCTACAACTAGAGGCACCATCACTGGGAGTGGACATCATTACTTCCAACTATTCACAACCAAAAAGCACTTCACACTCAACAAAATCAGCAAAAATACCCAATGACCAGTCGAAAGAGCCAGGAACAAAAGGAACAGTGACCGATATAAAGAACACTAAAGGTATGCTTTGTCTGAATAAAGAAAAAAAAAGGTTAATTTGAATCTTGTTCTTTCGTAACATTTTTAACAAAATGTAACGTACACTTGTGATCAGATCATTTATGTACTTATCATACTTAAGACATACTTAAAATTATACTTATAAGTATACCTGGCTTATTCTGACAACTATACAGAAAGTATACTTGGCCTATACTTGTATCTTTTGATCAAGATATACTTAAGAAAAGTATTATTAAGTATTAAGTATACCTGGTTATTAAACACTTTTTTCCCCACACACTGGCTTCTTTGAGGTGGCACTGCAGTTTTATAAACTTACATGTCAGCTTTGTGGTGGAATATTTATTCATTTAACTTAAGTAAAGTTCAAGTATATTTTAATTTAAGTAGCAAGTATACTAATATTAGCACACTAGTAGTATACATAAATTGAGAGTAAATTGGTTTGAGGAAAAAAATGCTTTAAGTGTAACAGTAGTAAATTTTACATCTATATATTTTTATAATTTTGTAACTGTACTTTAAGTTAACTTATATACAGTATTGTTAGTTTACCAAATGAATATTTCTAATCAATTTTTTTAGTTACGAATGTACACTTTGAAGATTACTCTCAGTAAACTGTTATTTGAATAGTTTTTCATACTGCAAGTGTACTTGTTTTATCTAAGCATCTAAGCATAAAACAACATTTTACATATATCTGCATTCAGTGTCTGCATTGTAAGTTCATTAATACTTCATTAAAATTGCACAGAACCTACTGTATACAGTACCAATTAACTATCCAATGTGCAATGGCAGTGCTACCTTATCTAACTCTGTGCTATGAACAAATGTTTGGGAGATGAGTGATACTTGTTAATATGTTGTCTGTTAATGTTACTGGCTTATGGATAATTTTACTGAACACATTTTCTAAATTGGTCGGCATGTTCTTCCTGTTTCCTTTGGTTTCCCCCCACAGTCCAAATACATGCAGGATAGGTGTCTGTCTGTAGGTGGGAATGTGTGTGTCTGGTATTGTGACCTAGTGAGTAAAATGGCTTATTGAAAAAGAAAAAAATTCCACACGGGACAGAAGAGAGGATTGTCAGTGGGGACAGCAACTGTTTGGTTACCCATATTCTTCTGTATTCAACAGGAGTTTAACAGGGTTAAAACAACATGAGGTTGAGTGAATGATGACAAAATTCCTTTAAATGTATGAGCATTTAGTTGTCCAATTCACGTTAATCAGATGTCAGAGTTATTTTGTCAAAATGGTTACATCAACAATCAAATTTTACTAATCGCAAAACAATGCTCAAATCTGTGTAAGACGGCAATTTAGGAATTTTGATTCAGAACTATGTATTGTATATTGTTTTATAAAAAATGGTCTGACAATGATTGCATTGTTGTATGTAGTTTATGTTTACATTTATTCATTTGACAGGCATTTTTATCCAAAGCGACTTACATTGCATTCAAGGTATACAATAGGAATCAAACCCATGACACTGGCGTTGCTAGCACACTGCACTATTGTTTCTGCTAAGGAAAGCCTATGTGCTTGGTTTATGTTATGCATTTTACACAATTATCTCAATAATATTTCCTTTCTCTCTTTTGCTTTTCACAGACATACCCACTTTTCTAAGGACTGCCTCCCCTCATCCGACTGGACATGGACATTTTCTATTCTCAGAAAATGATGGAAGATTTACAGAGAAGGACCAGTCAGTCTCACAGGGAATAGTCCCATCTCTGAAGTCAAACCCTGCCTCTCCAACCTATGCCCTACCCAAGGACCCCTGTGCTTCTGGTGTGGGTCCCTGTGTTTTTTCCAAAGATCAAAACAACGATGATAAATATGGCACAACAAATGGGAGCTTTTTAGTGTGGGCAGACTTAAAACGCACACTTTCATTTGCATGGGAACTGCATGTATTTGGTTCTGCTGCGCTTTTCCTTCTGCTGACTGCTGGCTCAGCCCTCGGTTTAGCATTATCTCCCAGCTTGAACTGCCCTCACCGTGGTGAACTGATACTCACCAATAGCCTCTTGCTAGTTGCAGGTGCAGTTAGAGCAGGCCACTTCTTGCTCGACCCATATGGGACTCGGCTCCTCCTGCCACCTCCTGTCATAATAGCTTTATACACTCTGCCGTTACCGCTGTTAATTCTGGCACAGGCTGCATTAGTGATACTGGTACTAAAAGAGACAGGGGTAACCTGGCTTCCACCAACACTTCAGCGTCCCCCTCTTTTAGGAGTGTTAGCTGTTTTCCAATGCACTCTCCTACTTGCTGCAGACTTACTTTCCCCTGCGCTTTCGCCTGCTGTTCCCATTGTCCTCCAGAGCCTCACGCTGACTGCAGGCCTCGTACTGTGTTTAGGCTACCTTTTCTTGGTACTGCCACGCTTCTCTCACACACATGCAGCTCGGGCAGGGAATAAGGGTACGGGTGAAGGAAAGGTGCGGGTTTTAGCACGGGTACTGGCAGTGTGTGCTCTTCTTGGGGCGCTGTGCTGTCTGTTGCACATTTATGCCTGCTTGTGGCTGTATGGACTTCTAGGAGACTGGAGGCGCTTTCGTTGGGCATGGTGGCTCTGTCAGTTCTGGGTACGACTTTTGGAGCTTGCCTGGGCTTTCTGCCTTCTTCTGATGTCTTCCTGGGTCTTCTGGAGACCCAATGGAGGAGCACCAAGACAGGAAGGAGCTGCCACAGCAAGCTTGGCCTCACCCTCCCAATCATCAGACTCTACCAGCAGACATACTTGCTGGGCGAAGATTGTGCAGAGCCTCAAGGTAAGGCAACAAAGGAAATCCGAAAGCAATGGGATTGGAGGGTCAAATAGTGGTGCAGGGGCCGGAGAGTTGCCCAATAACTGGGCAGGACAGGAGCGATCAGGGGCAGACATTAGCAAGAGCCTCATACAAAATCGTGATCCACTCAAAGACAGCAATCATTTGCGCAATCTGAAAGGCTCTGCAGGTTCATTGCTAAGGCTGCAGGCACTTGCTCAGCCACCTCAGCGCGCTTTAAGCAGCAGTTTGGACAGGGACAAGGAGTCAGCCATATCCCTCTGTGATTTTGACCTGCGCCCACCAACCCCAATTGACCTCAGCCGCAGTATTGATGAGGCACTTCATCGTGAGCATCTATTATGGGGTGAAAGTTTGTTCCAGCCACTGCGACCGCCATCACCTCCTCCGTCTCCGGACCTGTGGATGCGACGGAATAGTGACCCCCAAATCACGCTGTCACTGAGCAGTGATGAACACACATTGCTCACAGAGTCCTCCGCAGGTCTGGATCGCTCCATTCCTAGTGCTGTGCCCAGCCGACAAGTCACAGCGCCCCCCACACCCACTCATCAGGGCTTCCGTTGGGTCTCTGAGGCACAAGTGCCTTCCTCTTTGTCCTGCCCGGTCTCACTGCACCCTTCCCCAAGCACAAGCCGTGACCTCGTGCCCAGTGCAGAAAACACAAGGCCGTTTCTAACCCCTGACCATGACAGTTCACTATCAAATACCAGAGGGGGGCAAAGTTACTTGAAAGTCGCTCGAAATGATGACTCAGCCAGTGTCATCAGTGACATTATTGACCTTTGAACATGTTATGACGCACAGCAACTCCAGATTACAACACATTCACATTCTCTAAAAAGTAGAGATTATACATTTAATCCTGACTTGCAGTTTAATTGCTGTATAATGGCACTTAAAGGGGAGGAGGAACATACTGTTAAGTGGCTTCATCAGATTTTATTAAATGGACTGAAATGTTAAGTGCAGTAAGCACTGGAAATATAAGTTTTTCCTTTAAAAGTCTTGTTTACAGTAATGCACATACTATAGAAGTCTATGGGGCAAAGCATACCAGAGGCAGAAATCTGCAGCTTGTATTCGCTATTATTAATGTTTTCGTACAAAATGTGTGTTATTTGATCTGTAAACTTGTCGTTTTAGTGGTGGGATCACTATTTTAGGCAAAATAACCTCTAGATGTGAATTAACTTATTTTCTGTTGGTGTAGTTGCTCTACGTAAAATACTTTGGCAAAAAGTTAGTAGTCTCCTGTTGTCACATGTTATATTTAAGTTTTGTGGCTGTACTTTGCAGTAGTGTGCGTATTTTTATGTTTATTCTGGTGCAGTGCCTTGTCCCATAGAGCAACCTAAGTGCTACCTTAGCATGCATTGTGAGAGCTGTGTCTGGACAGTGTTTTTTCCCCCTGTTGCACTGCATTTGAACAGAAATTATACTGGATGTGCCAGAACATGTTGACTTTCTGGCCCATTCTTTGTACTTCCAGTTTATTACTGCAATGCAGCATACCTAAAACATACTATTCTCACAACTGGAGTTATGTTTAGTAAAATAATTTTGATATAAATGACTTGTCAGCAAAGCAGACCAGAATTTGGTGGTTGGTATATTCAGCGGTTTAGTCAAAATTTCAACACAGCTGGATGCTCAACTCATAACTACTTTATTCGATACAGAAGAACTCTTATGTGAGCAATAAATTATAAAAAGCCGTGAGTATAACAAACAGATTATGTATATACTATGTTTTTGTTTGTAAATGATGTATTCTGATTACATTTAATGCATTTACTGTGAATGACAATCTTTCCTACTGCAAACATATACTGATCCTGGCAGAGTAAGGACTAAAGATACACTAGATTTCTCCAGGCATATCTGTCTGTAGGACAATAAAACAGGTACACATCTTGAGAAATGTTAATGTGCACCATTTAAGTGTGACATGAAAGGAACATGATTCTATGCTTTGTACATTTTCTTGTTGTTTAGTTGAAAAGTTTTGTTCTTCTCCCTTTCATTTTTAAAATGGCAAGGAACGGTTTTAATATTACTTTTATATTTGCAAATAAACAGGATGTTGTATATAGAGATTCCAGTCAGAGGTTGATGAATTCTTACTGAATTTTTCCCCTGAATTTTTTACTTTTATTTATTTAGTCCCAATGCATTTTTGTGTGGTCAAGTTAGCTTTTGAATAAAACAAATGAAAGAGCTGTCACCAACATACTGTACTGAATATGATAAGTAACTTTTTGATGGGACAGTTTACACACTGTTATTTTAATTATATTTCATGAAACTTTAATAATCTAAATAAGCACCACTGTCTTTGTGAAAGAGTGGGCTTATAACAAATTTAAATGTTTTTATAAAAACACATTTACCACTTTTAGCTGAAATTTTCAGATTAATGCTGAAATTATAGTTTTCTTTATTGCATATTACACTGGGATACAGAAACGTATAACTGGAATATATTTTTATATAAAATATTCATATTCAGATTAATTTTTTTATTCAGTGTTAATTCTGGTGCAAGACCCATAACTCAAAAATTCCCAGAACTAAAAATTCTATAAAAAAGCAAAAAAACAATCAAATCTCAGTGCGGAACTTGACAGTGGTGTTCTTCATCTTCTGTTTGTAGACCTCATCAAACTGTTCATTTTGTGCCACAGTGAAATGACTTTTCCAGTCTCCAACTTTACCTTTTGGAACAAAAAGATGATAAAAGCAATTATTTTACCTAAGGTATTTTTTTTTCTGACAGAATTCGAAAGGACTAAATTAGATCAGTTGTTTATAAACCTTTTCTCATAAAGGGTGAGATCTTGAAGTCCATGACTGGGACAGTGGAATAGTTGGTCATTTTGTTCTGTTTCATGGCATCAAACTGAACCCCTTTTGTTATTTTCTCCTTCTGTTCAACTGAGGTTGACAAACCCAAGAAGGAGCACAAATTAGCCACCTCATGTCCAGTGTCCTAAGTAAGATGCATGGAAAATACACATTAAACATATCAATTTCATGCTTCATTAAAAGGTCACTTTATGAACAGAACTACTTACTTCCACCAAATCCTCATAGAACATGTACAGTAAATTAGAATAAGTCTGTTTTTTCTCCCACCATCCATTGACATGGTCGAACCAAGAACCAAACACTTCTAAAGGGAATATTAAAACAATTTTTAGTGGTAACTTTCTTGCACATAATTGTAATAAATATAAATATGTAAATATATTATCAAAAATGGTTCTTTAGACAACTTAATTGAATTACTTTACAAAATATTTTACTTACTCTTTCCATCTATAAATGTCTGTAAGAAGGTGTTCCAGTCTCCTGGTTCAGGTTCTCCCATGTTCATTCGATCAAAATGAAAATAGGAAACGGCATTGTCTTTTGCATTCCGTGCTACATACACAATCTGAAATAAGCGGACAGAAATATTATGAGTATAGGGACCAATTCTCACTATTAACTAGTTGCTTATTAGCATGCCTATTATTAACATATTGGCTGTTTATTAGAACTTATAAAGTAGTACATATTCTGCATGACCATATACATCCTTAATCCTACCCAATACCTAAACTTAACAACTTACTAACTATTAATAAGCAGCCAATTAGTTTATTGAGGCAAAAGTGTGGAGCACTGTATAACACATCTGTTCAAATCTCCCATAGGTGTACAAGTGGGTTGACTGTGAAGGCCATAGAATATGATACAAATAATTTTCATATTCATCAAACCATTCAGTGAGCCCTTGTTCTCTGTGCCTGAGGGCATTGTCATCCTGGAAAAGACTACTTCCATCAGGATAGAAATGTTTCATAGGATAAAAGTGATTACTCAAAACAACATTGTAGTGATTTGAAGGGGACAAATGGGCAAGCCACAGCAGAAAATGCACAGGGCAACTCGATCTCCTGGAGTTTCCTTTAATTTGTCACCCGCATATATATGAATACTGCTTAGTTAAAAAAGCATTGTCAGTGACCACATCAAACACTGAAAGGCATGAAAGCCTATACACAATCGTCAAAAGTGTTCCTGATGTTTCGAAGAGTTTGACATCATCCTATGAGAGATTCATTACATTTTGCTAGCTACATCACATCACGGAGTGAAAGAAGCCCCATATACTACCCTTGAGTTTTGCTCCCAGAAGGACTTAGGCACAAGCTGAACAGGTAAATGAGTTTTGATGAGGCGAGGAGAAGTGGGCAGATTATCAGCCAGTTCTGTTCCTGAAAGTCAAAAATATGGCTATAAATTAATAGTGTCCTAGTTGTCATTGTGGTTAGATCAAGACATACACTCTTAAAAATAAAGGTGCTTCAAAATGTTCTTCAAGCGATGCCATAGAAGAACCATTTTTGGTTTCACAAAGAACCATTCAGTCAAAGGTTCTTTAAAGAACCATCTCTTTCTTACCTTTTTGTAATCTGAAGAACCTTATTTCGCCACAAAGAACCTTTTGTGAAACAGAAAGGTTCTTCAGATGTTAAAGGTTCTTTATGGAGCCATTTAGACAAAAAGGTTCTTCTATGGCATCGTGAAGCACCTTTATTTTTAAGAGTGTACAGTGAAAAAACAATATTTGAAGCATTCATACTGTTTATAACTTATTTAATGTCACTTAAGAGTACTGGTTAGTGGCTCCTACAATTCAGTGAAAAGCCTCACCATTCTAATTTGTTTATAATGATAATGGACAGTACCTCACAGAAACGACATTAAGCACTTATACTAAAGACTCACTGCAAAAGCAATATAAAGAATGAACAAAACTATGCAGGGTATAAGGACTCACAATCCAGATTACATCATGCATATCAGAAATAAAACTACAGACACTTGTAGCTTACTGTATTTACCCCTAAAAGGGTGCATATTTGTTCCTTAAAGGTATATTAGTACCTTTTAAAAGGGTAATTCTCTTTGACAGCTTTTGTAACTTTTTCTGAGTCTTCATACTTCATACTTAAGTCTTTTGAGCCAATGGACTACTTAAACTAAAAACACTATGATCTTCATTACTTCTGTTTACAAACATTGTGGTTTGCTTGTTTTCCAGTTATTCATGTTTTCAATGTGCTGTCGCCCAGTTCAGGTCAGAAGGGTTAAGATTAATTTGATGTTTAACATTGTTAAATAACTTTAACTCAAGTAAAATAGAATAAGAATAAGCCTAGAATAAGAGCACCAAATTACACACACACATGCACACAATGGTTTCTATGTTTATGGGGACATATTTTTGTCATATTAGATGTATGTAATATCTCCTAAACCTTAAATCTACCTACCACTCACAGAAAACATTGCAGTTTTAGATTAAAAAAAAAAAACTTTTAGTATGATTTATAAGATGTTTTCCTTATGGGGACAAAAAAAGGTAAAAAGTGACTGGTATTTCTATCCTTGTGGGGACATTTGGTCCCCATAATGCAGAGCAGGTGCTGGATTGCTGCAGGTTTATGGAAAAATACAGTACATGAATGTTTTTACCAGAAACAACTTTGTTGAGCTATACTATGTGGAATGTGGAACAAGTTGTGCAGGTAGTCAATTAGATTTTGAATGCAATTTGTAAAAAAATTTTTTTTGCAGTGCTGCAAATTTGTATATTTAGTTTACATTAAATGCAGCAGCACCTGCACAGTAAAGCCAGCAGAGGACCTCAGTGTGCGCTTCACATATCTCTGAAGAAATACAGAGAACTGGCTCTGATTAGTAAAAAATGCAGTGGCATTTTACTTTTGCGGAGTACAAAGCAGACAGTTTAAATCAATCTGTCACAGTATGCTACATAAATTAACAGAATCCATGCAGGACTTTAAAATGCAGAATGTGGAAAACATTAAAAACAAAATGATAAAACAATGATTTAAAAAATAAAAACACAAAAAACCATTAAAACACACAGAATACATTAATTAATTCAGTGAAATCTTATTATACTGTGGTCTCCGACCTGATGGTATCACTTTAAAACATGACTCCAGGAATGGCACTCTCGTATAGATAGGCTGGGAAGTCTGGCGCTCTGGAGCATCGTTACCAAAGTACAGAAGGTCTAGAATATATGACACCCAGGTGGTACCTAGAAAATCAGTGAAGAGTAGAAAATATTACATGCTTCAGACTCTTTCCTTAGAAACATAGCAAGATACATATAACAAGATATGAAATTATATATTATTTTCATTGGTCATACGCCAAGGTACACTACATCTATTCTGGAGAGCGCTATTCCTCATCCTGGTTGCACAGTGATCGCTCAATGTAGGCTAAATGTCCACATAATCAGCTATACACTTTCACATAATCAGCTATACACTTTTGGATGAGAACATCCAAAAATAAAGTAATATAAGTAAAACAAGTTGGCAAGAAACA